AGAGAGAGAGAGAGAGAGAGAGAGAGAGAGAGAGAGCGAGAGAGAGAGAGATAAACAGAAGCCGATTACATGCAGTGGGCTGGCGGCGGGCGCGCGCACGGCTTACAAATGGCGATCAGTGCCGCAGACGATATTTCTGCGAGGCGAGCAGCATTTGCATGTAGCGGCGGGAGATTACTCTGCATCTCTGCGCTAGCGTCGCATTAGCCGCAGCCTATACAAGCGTCCGCACATCCGACGCAGCGCATTGTTTGCGGTTACCAAACTGCTCTCGACTTCCCATTTTAATTACCCGCTCTCGTAATCACGTCAGCTACAGCAAGAATGGTTGGATTCGGCGGTGACGGCCGTGGCAGTGCATCGCTGCATGGCCCGCCGGCGTCGCTTGCCGCGCTCTCTGTCGCATGGCGGCCGCTGATTGGTCGCCGCGGGGCGATGCGTGCGTGTAGAGCTGTTGCCTCCCCGGAAATCAAATGACATATATGAGCAGGTGTATGAAGAGAACGCACGCACGCACGCACGCACGAACGCATCCACACACGTTCTCACGCACGCACACCAGGCACGCACACCAGGCACGCACACCAGGCACGCACGTTTGTATCCACACACGCACGCACGCTCGCACGCGCGCACACCAGGCACGCACACCAGGCACGCATTTACAAGGAAGCGAACATTTATGGTGTCAATTAACTAATGAATTAATTAATCAACTAATATAGCGGTAATTAACGCGTAAATATATATTGCACGTCTCTCACCTATGCCTCCGCTTCTTTTTCTTTTTCTTGCCTCCGGCCACACCTGTCCGCTGTAGAAATCCGTTCCTTTCATCGTCAGTATCTAAAACGAAAACAAGAGACAGAGATCGTTGAATGCATGTGCATATAATTCTCCCGCCATCGGCTACTATAATAAGAACGTGTTTTTGTTGTTGTTGTTGTTGTTGTTGTTGTTGTTGTTGTTGTTGTTGTTGTTGTTGTTGCTGCTGCTGTTGCTGCTGCTGCTGTTGCTCTTGCTTTTTTCAAATGCATCCGAACGTAGATCGTTTACTATTTATATTCTTTCTTCTTCGTAATTTTCTCCTTCATGGCGTCTGCCCTACTATGGGATTCTATCTTTATTTTTATCAAGTTTTTATCCATTTAAATCTGGCTCGTGTAAACTCTCTGCTGCCTCTATTCCTGTCTTTCATTCATGGCGTCGTGTCACGCGCTTGGCAGCTTCCGCTGATAGAGAGACTCGTGCATGTGTTTATTATCGTATCGCCGCGAAACACATTAATTATCATAATGAGACCTTGCTAATTAGATAATTAGTGAACGCTGCAGCCGTGGTGGATCGTTGAAGCTGTGCTGGCGAAATTCGTGCCGCTTTTCATTCATTATTCACGTCGTTGTTTGTCGGCGGAGTGCTGGCGGGGTGTGCTAGCCTGGTAGTCGTAGCCCGGTGATGTGATGCTCGATCTCCTGCATGGGCCGTGACCATGCCTGCTGAGACGCGGCCTCTGAGGATGCCCTGTACCGCACAACGTTGCCAACGCCCCACACTCCATCACGATTGCAGGCAATTAGTCTTGCATAGCCACCAACACCCAGCTCAACGCCCGCATCTACTTTGTCCGACATTATTCCAACGCAAACGGAGTCGTTACGTTTTGTTTCGCTGGCCGCACTCTTTGCCTGCGCCTTCTAAGATAATTTACCCTGGTACATTCTACGTCGTTTAGTAAGAAACCCTTTCCCACTACCCAGCTCGAAAAGAAATTTCGCCACTCGTTCGTTGGAACCAGTCGCCGTAAAACCTGATTCGCGCAAACGCAGAACGACAGCTCGGCGTGCTCGAATCGCAGCGATTCTACCGACGTGCCAAACCAACGTGTCACCGCCGAACGTCGCTGACAAATTCGCACTCGGCAAAGCTGTCTCTCAGGGACTAGCTCTTAACGAGCACTTACGCGTTTTGCTAGATTACATTACTTTACTTGGCAGGAGTTCGGTTCGCTCTGTTTATCTTGCGGGAGACGTGGCTGCTACCCGCGTCTCTCGTGCCTGGTTACAAAGTAAACATGGACGAGAAAAGCGTCTGCATATAATATAATATCCGACGCGAGAACTGTGGGCATGCATCTACGAGTTGTCTACGAGTTGTCTGCATGTATACACTCGCACCAGTGTATATATATATATATATATTCGATTTATTCACGATAAAAAAATGTTTTCGCCTAATAATAACGCTAAATAATCATCTAACAACCTCATTAATTAATACTATGTGAAAAATAACGGCATACTTGAAATAAACGACCGGAAGATATTTGTCATAATTTACAGAGTTATTAGTTGATGATCGTATGCACGCACTAACCGCACGTATATACGCGCCTATAGTTACACCATACACACTTGTATGTATTGTGTGTGCTGTGTGTTGTGTGTGTTGCTGTGATGCTGTGTGTGTGTGTGCTTGCGTGAGTGTGTGATGTGTATTGTGTGTGTGTGTGCGTGTGTGGTGTGTGTGTGTGTGGTGTGTGGTATGCTGTGTGTGTGATCGTGTGTGTGTGTGTGTGTGTGTGTGTGTGTAGTGCGCGCTGCCGTCCGTTCGTGTGTGTGGTATGTTGGCTGCGTGCGGGTCGTTGTGGTGCGGGGGGGGCGTGTGTTCTTGCGGCGTTGTGGGAGGGGTTCCGCGCGGGTGTGTCGGTTTTCGTCCGTGCGTGCGTCTCGTGTCGGTGGTGCGAATCGCGGTCCGTGTGTTGTGTGGGTGGTGGGAGGTGAGGATATGGTGATAGGTAGGGATAGTATAGTATGACGGGGGTATAGGCATACGGGTTGTGATGGGATGGTGACGGGAGGTGCTCGCGCCATTCGTTGGGGGGGGTTGAAATAGAGGTGAGTGTAGATGTTCAAGTTTTGAGTATATTAAACAGCAGCGTGAATAGATACATGATAGATGGGGTTCACGTCGGACTGAGAATTCGACAAGCTAATTAGATTATGGTTAAAGAAACCATTCCTTTAGTCCCGCAGAATTTAAATATGACGAGTTCAAAACAATTACCGTATGAGATAGCTTGATGGTTAGACTGCGATTGATGAGTGTTAATCTGAGTAGGGAGGAAACATAAATTACATGAGCGTGGATGGGAATTTTTCTTTATCTGCGAAATTATATGACGCGCCTTGGAAGTGAAAGTTAGGGAACGGGGTAAACTGTGTCGGCGTATCAGGTACCGAGGAATGTATGGGTGGAGAAACATACAGAGTTGGGCTGGGAGGAAGATGCCGAACGCGGGCAGGACGATGGCGCGATGGAGTAGAGTTAGTGTGGAATAAAGCCAATTTTGGCTCGCAGGTGGTTCATCAGTCGTGAGGTTAGGGACATTAGTTGCAGGGGCAGGTTGGATGTGGCGGTGTGCGGGGCGCTCGCGGCGGTCACGCAGGGTAGGAGAGGCTAATAGTTAAGGTGGTGAGCTGAAGTTCCCAGGCTGCGGGCGGAGGATGTGTGTGGGCGCAGTGCGTTAGACTAGATATTAAGGGTGGGACATTACTCGCACAGGCGGTCGAGGGCTTGGCGTCGTGCCCGGGCGTGAACGATGCAGTGTAGTCATGTATAGAACCGCGCGCAAGCCTGCCTCTCCCTCGGGCGTATCACCAGTGTCAAGTGCAGAGGGCCAGGATTTACCTTGGATATATTTTATTGCTCCCGCCCTGCGTTAGATCTCGCGGAGTTATATTTCTCGCTCTGCTCTTCGCGAGCCATGAGGATTTGGCTTTATTTCTATAATTGCGATGAACTCCGTCCATCTCCTTCTCTTTGCTCTCCTTATACTACTACTTTGTCTATATTCTTCCTAATGCTAGTCGGTCCTTTTGGTACTTCCTTTTCTCCCACTGTCTCTCTCTATTCTCTTCTCACCCTGCTCTCTCTCACCACTCTCTCTCTTTCTCTCTTCTCTCTCTTTTCTCTCTTTCTCTCGTCTTCTATCTCTCTGCGCTTTCACTCTTCTCTCTCTCCTTCTCCTCTTCTCTTCTCTTCTCTCTCTCCCTCTTCTTCTCTCTCCTTCTCTCTCTCTTCTCTCTCTCTCTCTCTTTCTTCATCTCTTCTCTCTCCCTCTCTCTCTCTCGTTCTCGTCTCTCTCTCGTCTCTCTCACGGCCTCTCTCTCTCTCTCTCTCTCCATCGG